TGTCACCAGGTAATGTGCGCACTGAAAGCTCAGCAACAACACAAAGAACTATTGAAGTTAAAAAATCACACAACATACTGAGGACCTCAGATCCTCATGTGGGCTTTCTGCCTCGTTTTGCAAAGCAAACATATAAAGGTTGTCAGTATTTTCCACATTTATGAATAAATGTCCCGGTTTATGAACATGTGCTGATGTATTGTGTTTGGCTTCCTGTTTTCAGAGACTCGGAGGTTGTGGATCATTCTCCTGTCCATCACAGAGCCCACTACCAGCAGCAGCAGCAGCGGACTGCCTCCCTGTCACCCTGCAGCCTCTCTGCGAGGGGGGATTATGGGGAAGACGACATGTCTGCCAGGTTCACAGAGGGGCAGGATGTGCTGGCCAGGTGGTCCGACGGCTTGTTCTATTTGGGAACAATCACAAAGGTTGGTGTAAAGCCAGGCGATGCTTTTAAAGTCTAAAAAACAAACAGGATTCTTGTCTTTAAATGTTAGTTTTTCATTTTTATAGACCATTTATATTCTTATCATTGGGCCATAAACCAGCGAGGAATAATCAGCGGATCATTATTTTTACCTGAAGCTAATACGTTTCAAATGATTTAATGAATTTAGCTTTAATCTGTAAAATAAATTATGATTTTCGTTGCGTTCGTCGAGTCTAGGAGCGGCCATTTTTGCCCCCCCAAGTCTTAAATGTATTTGCTCTCAATTTGAGCAGGTAAATAAGATGATTCGCCAACGGAATGAGTATTTTTACTCTGAAAATGAGATAATTAGATAATATGCACTTGAAATAATACAATGAAATATTTTTTTTTTTTTTAATTGGAAATTGTCTTGTTGCATTGGTAAAGTGTTAGGGTTAACTTTTATTGTCATTTTGTATAGACAGAGTATTAACAAAGCGAAGGTTCGTTTTGTACAGCTCTCATAACATTTTCCATTCCTTAAACCAAAAGTCCGGTGAGCAAGGAATAAAAAAATAGATCAATATTTATACCTAAAAGTAATACGTTCGCTGTGATTTAACGAATTTAGTGTTAATCAGTAAAAAAATTAATATAACAATTTTCATTGCGATCACTGAGTCTGGGAGTATGGAAGTAAATTTGTGTCGCTGGGATTTGAATTAAAAAATGCCACTGAAATTTAAATGTTGTATGTTTGTACTTACTGTTTCAGTGTTTAAATATATTCAGAACATTTTTGACCTAAAAAAATTTTATTGTCATTATTTCTACACAGTTGAAATTTCATTTATTTTCTCTTCAAGCTAAAAATTCACATTACTATTTCAAAGTGATTACATTTTCAATGCTCACACGGAAGGAAAACTAGCATCATGGAGCCGGTCATGCAAGCTAACGCTAACTCAACGGTGAGTTTATAACTTTCATTTTTCTGTAGTTGAGTTAGCGTTAGCTTGCATGACCGGCTCCGTGATGCTGGTTTTCCTTCGGTATGAGCGCTACAAGCGTCACGTCACGTGACTAAGAAA